CGTCGTAACGTTTCAATATACGTATTGCCAATTGTAGTCGAGAATAATAAACTTTTCTGTTTAATTTTAACCTATCATTGAAATATGAAATTTCTTTTATTATTATTATATTTATTAATTATATTGGTTTAAATTAACTACAAGTAATTCACACGTATGCGGCATGCAAAACGCTCCAACTCATTTCTCACGCTCACTATGACACCATAGAAAATTGAAGGGACTTATTAATATATACGTGTTTTCTGTGAAACAGCAAGATACATTACAATGGGAGCTTTTCAGCAAGCGACAGCGACACATGTCGACACAAACGTCGTTCTATCTCTCTTTTTTGGCAATAAGTAACAAAGACAAAACCAACTTACATTACTCTGCTAAAAAAAATTTTAATTATTTAATAGACATTAAGAAATTTGTGAAACATTTAAATGTTATAGTTGTATCAACGTATATTTTCTGAGACTCGTTTAGTATCGGGTGATTCGGAGCTTTGTTTTTCTCGTTGGTCGTTATTTTGTAACAGCACATTTTATAACATTTTATTATATAGTTCTTTTAAAAAGTCACACCTTGCGTTTCCAAATGCAGGGCATTGTTAATATAAAGATAGTAGGTATATAATTTTTAATTAAAATAAAAAAAATTTTAATTAAAGAAACTTGGTGCTGCTTAATCTCGAAATTCGAAATATAATGAGGTAATAAAAACAAATAATGTTTTTAATTTAGACCCGAACATGACACACACACACACACACACACACATCGTGCATCATATTTTTGCATTTATTTCGGCTGTTCTTGTTCCAGCAGTCTCAAGTTTTTGCATTAAATATTTTTTTTATTTCAATTATATGTATATATTATATACATTTCAATAACTTTGTATTAGCTTGGGTGGGTTTAAAAATGTTGAATTTTTTTAAACGTTTATAATACTTCCTGTTTTTATTTTGCACAATTTTTTAAATATAACATGTTTTTGAAAAACATTTTTAACTGTTTTGAAATTATGAAATGTTGAACAATTAATGCTTATTCACCTAAATCTTTCTTTTTACAGAAATTAACGCTATTTATGTTGTAATGCACAATTATTTTATATTTTTGATTGGATATATTGAAACAATTTTTTGTACATACAACAGTTTTTCATATTGGTAATTATACATTATTCTCTGAAATTGTCTGCGCTTTGTACTTATTTTATAGATACACGCAGTATTAGATCTTTGTATATATTTTCCACACAAAGTCTCTATTAATACGAATGATATTTTTTGCACTCTGGTGTTAAATTAAATTTAATTAATTACTTAATCGTGATTTCGATGTGTGTATATGATATATAGAATAAGAAAATAAAAAGGAGAAGAGCTATGAACATTACTGGCAGTTACATCAACGAAAGAGAGATAAAGAGAATAGATATACGCGTAAAAGAGAGGGTACTGTACATAGATCTCATACGGCGCATGTGCTTCTTTCGTTAAAACGACGAAGTTGAGAGCGCGGCGTCGAGACGATTTTAGAACGGAGCAGGGCCTCCTACCGTCAGACGTCGTAGCATAGGGTGTGCTGTATTAATATAGGATCAAGACAGAAACAAGTTGGTGACGGTGGTGGCGGAAGACGGTGCAGGTCTTCTTGAATACCTAATACACGCGCGTATGCATTTCGACCCTCCGCGAGTAATGTCAACGTACGGAAAGAACGTTCTACGTAACATCTAACGAGATGACCTTAACAGGTAAGATGCACAATTGAGTTGTCGTAACGTGTTTGCCGGTGTAGCCGGTAGAGCCGGCAACGACGAACCAAAACGATATCTTAATCGATACAGCCGGTTTATAGACAATATGACGGAGGATGACGGATTTTTATAAATCTTATATATGTCTTTTATACATTCTTGTAATGAAAAAACGATGTGTGTGTGTGTGTGTATGTGTGTATGTGTGTGGCTTGTCAATTGTAATTGTATAAATATAACAATGTATAAATAAAGTATTACAATAAGAGGATGGAAGAAGATATCAAGCGTGTAAGTGTTATTAATATATAGATAAAATACATAAAATACATATGATAAATAATAACTTGGCCTAAGAATTGTGAATTAAAAAATTAATGCAAACAAATAAGTAAAAATTGTGTGTGTGGGTGTGTGTGCAGAATTATTATACAATATTTATTATTAACAGTGATGATTAGCTACTTGTATATTATACTTATATATATAAGATTCTTGTAATTCTTGTAATCAAGCGTCATTGCTAAGTTTTGCCTCTGATACTACAGTTATTGTCAATTTTACAGATTCTAATATATATATGATATATATGTCGTGATATTTTACGACTGATGTAAAACACGTGATTGAAGGAATGTTTTAAAAAATATTTGGTTTTATAAAACATGCTTAATAAATGACATCTTTACAAATCGATTCAATATCAAAATCGACGGAGTTTTTTGCCAAAATTTTTACTAATTAAACATAAAAATTTTTATTTATATTAATGGTGCAATCTTAGTGTGCGTCGGCGAGTCTAATCGAAATACGGAGAGCACTTAACATCACAAAATTTGCAAGAAAAAGCAATTTTTCGAACAAAAATAAGGATCTTTGAAATTTAGATAAATCCGCTTTACGGTTTATGTTCTTAAATGGCTTTGGTTTATCACATTTTTGCTATATAATCATCAACATTTGTGCTATTATTTTGCGTGTACGTATTACCGTCATTCCTGTAGCCATTTTGCAAAACACGTGAGTCTCGAAATAGCAGGTAGCTTTTCGACAGAAAGTTTCCTCCCGTCATAGTGTGTATCGATAAAAAAATGTTTGTTCGATAAGAAACTGACATTAAAGTTAATAAGAAATTTTTTATATATCTTAAAACGCAATAGTATAATTAATTAATACTGTGCAATATAAATATACACGCAGATTATACGCTGAAAAATAAAGGGCCACCAGAATGGATCGAAGAAGATCAGATAGTGTCAGTTCAAGGATATGTAGGCGAAGATATCATTATCGAACTGAAATTGGCTCTATTCGAAAATTATGATGACTTACGGTTTGAACTGTAAGTATAATAAACGATATTTTACAGAATGAAATGTTAACAGCTTTGCATGTGTTTTTGTTGTACTACAATATTTTAATCTGGAAACAATATACTCAGTTTACGCGTTATCGTTCATTCTCATACATTGGCCTTAATTTTATGTAGAACCTTGGGACGTGCCAAGGATCAAACGCGAGTTATTTTGAGCTGTCGCGCACTTAATTTCAGAGAACCGAATTACTTGCCGCAGGTAGCCTCACTCAATATTTCTGCATGGATCATCACTTTGCCAATAAATGTGAGCAATATGTTCGTACTTTCAACATTTAATTTAAACATCAATAAAAGAAACCTAAGAAAATGGGCAATACGCTACTGTAATAGTTTATACGCGCGATATTGATCATTAAAGACTAGAGGTAATGATAAGTAGTTCTTGATTTAAAAAGACAGAACGATCCGATTTATAATTTCAAAATATATATTTAAAACGCACCGTGTGACTTTACTTAAGTTTTATATCTTGAATAAGGTCGAGAAAACTAAATATTATAATAACGATTATTATTATTATAATATTCCGATTCATGTAGGTACATATACATATTATATATGCAATGTCTTAAGAAAATCAAGTCGTGTCAAGGAAATAAAAGAAATGCAGATTGCTGTTCATATTACCCCTGATGCATTTATTACAATAATTTAACATACGCGTCATGCTAGTGTTAATCGAATTTATAATGTGAAATCATGTATTCCGCATATTTCTTGGATCAGAATATTTTTATCGTAATAACGACGCAGACACAATATCACGATAATAATACGAGTAAATTATGAAAATTTTGATTTCTCTGCCACTTTCTATATCCGTCTTCGTGCAACGAACATATTACTCTACGTAAGCTAATTTCGACCGCCGCGCCGCATCGCGCGCTTGAAATTTTCACGAAAAGATGAAAGAGGCTCCCGCCCGGTCTAGCTATATGCCTCGGTTGGCTCTTACTAGCTCTTAGCAAGCAAGAGATAGCATGAGATGCCTATTGCTTAGAGTTCCTCGAAACTATCTCAACGAACTCGTTGATGGAGGTGGAAAATTAGGAGGGGACAGTTTGACGTTGGCGTTTCGCTATCAGTCTGACGCTGAGAGAGCGTCGCGACGACCGACGAATCCCTAAGAAAGGGTTTTAAATCATTCGATTTGAGTGCATTGGTACGCGTCTCTTACCTTATCGATGTTAAAAAGGTGGTTGTGGACTCAATTAAATTTGAAACTGCATGGTAATTGTTGAAACTGTAATTTGGAGCTCGGTCAATTATTTTTTTCTTGCTGTGCATTTCTTATAAACGATTTCTTAAATACAAATAATTGAGTTAAATTATTAACTAAAAATATACAAGAATTCACTTCCCGGTCGCAGATTTTATCTTTGGGTAGAAAATCTTTTAAGAGGCTCAAAAATCCACGATTGTAAACTTTAAAATAAAGATAATGACATGAAAGAACGAGGAGAGATAAAAAAATTGGACATTATCGAAAGACAAGTTATCACTATTATCGCAACTATTAACACAATTTAATGATATAAAATTAAATCTAAATCAATGCACTGTGAAATCCTCGATAGATTCGAGACATATACCGATGCCTCAATGAAACGAATTTGCAGAGCGCCATCGCGCGCTGTCAGAATTCGATCGACCAATGTGTATCCCGCTAATTTTATCGCTCACGCGGTGCTCGCATCAGTGTCATGAACGAAGATTATACGCGGCAGATCAATACCTCGGAAACTAAAATATATGACAAATCATTGTTGATATTCGCAAAATTCGCACATTTCTAGATATATGTGAAAAGTACAGAGATAAAATGATATTGAAGAATCTCTAAAGATAGATCTTATATCAAGCCGAAATGTTGTGTGTTTGTAAAAGATTGTGGGCAATTTATGGCAGTTACCTCATCGACGGTGCATTCTGATATATATATTAAAACAAGAAATTGCTTTCTTCATTTTGATTCATCATGGGAAGTGATTGCTGTAAATGCACTAACGGTAAAAAGAATGTTATTACTGGATCCTCCTCCGATGGATCGGAATACCGGTAGGAGAATAAAAAAAGTTCTTAATTTAATATTAATATTTCTACAAACAATTATACTTTCTTGAAGCTAATATATCATTCGTATTCGTACTTTGTAGGTAATATAATATCAGTTTGTATATTGGTGATTGAGTAGTAAATTAAATTATATAACAAACATAATATTATTGAATATATAAATATTACGTGCAAAATTACGTGTTTAATAATATGTAAAGTGGACAAAAGAAATTAAGTTATACTGAAGGACGACGTCGTGTCACGTCAGATTCTCACGTCAGATGCACACAGTTGCATCAAATTGCATGTTTGATACATTGATGTGTGATATTTTTAGGAACGTTCTACGTTCATACTATTCTTTAAACAACGCGAATGATGATTTGTTTATATGAAAAAAGTAAAAAATCCTATGTCTTGTCTACTTGGTAGACGTAAACGACTTTTTTTCTCGGTTCTGTGTGAGCTCGTCACACTGCGAAAAAGGTGACAAAAATAGGGCAGTAGAGCAATGCCAAGACTCTAGATCATTCTGTTGACCAAAATATGCCGGACCAATGTACAATATATTTTTACGTAGACATAGATGTGAAAACACGCGCACATGGAAAACGCGGGAAAATAATAGACATTCTTGACAAATAAAAACCATAACAATTTTCCCTTTTTATTTAAATTTAATCTAAAATTTAATTTGTCACACACTTGTGACAAATAAATCTTAACACACATAAATGACCAATTACGCAGGTGAAGGAAATGTTTAGTAAAAAAAATTGCTCTTCGTATACATATTTAGTATAATTTACTTCTGCATTAGGTAGAATTAAATCAATTACTCATTAAGTGCGTAAATTCATCTAAAACTTGATCTGAATTAATTTGGAAACAATCCGAGTCATGTATAAAATTAAAAATGAGTAAAACTGGTAATAAACAATATAATAAATAAACGTTAAATAAATTCGACGAAAGTAACAGTCGATCTGATTGAATCCATAGTCCCGAAAGAAAGTACAAGTAGGTAAATTTGATAGATTAAACTAATAAACGCGGATGTGCTTTGTATTGTTTAAACAGTTTTACTTTCTGCATTTTAATTCATTGACATCTACATTATACATTGCCGCATTACAAGATCTTCGTACTTGATAAATTTGTGCTACGTTTTCTGTTTTCGCCTTTATAAAATAGATCAATATTATTCTTACCAAATTTGCAGAATACGAGACGGATTACCAATTTCATCGGATCGTTATCAATTGTCGATGCGAGGCAATATCGTTCAACTGGCTTTGAAGCAATCGCGTAAAAATGATACGGGTTACTATTCTCTCGTAGCAACGAGACTCGAACAAGAAAACGATAAAGGAGCTTTAAAGAAAATTCATTTAAGCGTCAGCGAACCAAGTTACGAAGAGGGTGATCCTCCTGTCTTCTTGAGAAGGTTGAGCGATCTTGCGGTGAAGGTTGGCACTCGAACCAGATTTCTCGTAGAAATTCAAAGTTCAACCACTTTGAAGGTACGATTTAATATATATATATATATATATATAGCAATAACGTTAACAAGAAATACTAACAGAGGGCAATTTGTTTGCACGTGTATCAGAATGTTAATTTAATTCGATAGTTTGTATATTAACAAGAGAAGAAAATTCTATTTGGCAACATACCCATATGTCCATAACATGACGTAAGAGACGTCCGGGCTTAACATATAGACGGATAATGTATAGTACGTATCAACTATTACGATCAACCCGGAAGGTGAAACTGATGGTACCAGCAGTGACTTATTGTCAGACATTTCTCTTCCTTCTATCCTAGTACCGGGCAAAACGGGAAAGGCGAACTAAGATGAGCACCGGGAGGTCCATGACCTGAACTCGCGACGAAAGACGAAAGACGATGAAGAGTAAAGGAAGCTGGTTACGCGTTCTTGTGCGTCGTATTAATACTATTATTACGCATGCCCGCATACTATGCCAAGGGATATATATTCCGAAATTTCTTCGCATGCCTCTCTTCCGCCATGCACAAAGTAGCCTAATATATTATACTATAGCATATTGCGTGTTACAGCAAATCGTATTTGTGATATATACAATATACAATATTACAATAAAGTAGTAGCAACAAAATTTAATTCTTATGACAGTTAAATTAAATTTACTAATTTCAGATAATTTGGTATAAAGATGACTTGCCTATTCACGATGGACCTAGGTTCTCTCTCGTTCACGAAGGAAATTTTCATTGTGTTGATGTCGCCCCCGTTACAGTCGAGGATCAAGGATGCTGGACCTGCATGGCGGAGAATCATAGTGGAAGATCCTCGTGTACATCCACTCTCACCGTCATTGGTAATCAATAATTTTCTCCTGCATTTATTCAACGTTTTTAACTTAGCTCGGTTAAAATTAATTGCAATCAATCTTTAGTTCCCAAGGCTTACAAAAAGCCAGAATTTGTTGAAGAACTTCGCGCGCTGCTCACTGAAACAGGCACCGTGTCGTTGGAATGCAAAGTAATCGGTGTGCCTACGCCGGTATTGAGATGGTTTAAGGACAACAAGGAAATCAAAGCTGGCGATGTTTTTGCTTTGACTGCTAATCCCGATGATCCAACATCTCTCGGTGTTTACACCTGCGAGGCAGTCAATTGCATGGGAACGGCCTATTCCTCCTCAAAAGTAAATGCGCTCGCTATTACGATTGCGCAATAACAATTGTAACAATCCTCCTCCAACATTTTTCAACATCAATTTTATTGAACGGAACGTAGACACGTCGTTCTTTTATCTCAGGTTCACGTAGTTGGAAGAGGAAGTCGAGAAGGTTCATTGAAACCGGCAGATGCTTTGGCACCATCTGGACCACTTCCGATATTTAAGCAAATACTTCAAGACAAATGTTGTCGGATCGGAGACACTATCGTATTGTCTTGTCGCGGTAAATTAATTAATAATCATTTTTTCTATTTTTTTACTAATAATTACTTTGTGCTTATATGATATATATTATACGTATATGGAACATCAATAATAATAGTTCAAGTACCACCCTGGCCGAAAGCGATCGCCTGGTACAACAAAGAAGGCCGCGTTGAGCCCAACGAAAAGTATCATGTAATGGAGGATGGCATCGGAGGATATTCAATCGAAGTAAAACAAGTAGAAGCCATGGACGAGGGTGAATGGAAGTGCGTTGCTACCAGCGAAGACAATATGAAGCAATTTACGAGCTGTTATGTAGCAATGTCTAGTACGTATTACAGTAATAGATAGAGCTAATTTATACACACACACAATCGTTCTTTAACAATATTTTATTTTATTTTCTACAAGTTCCAAGGAACTACAGAAAACCGCGCTTCATGGAAAATCTGAAAGCAATCTTGACGGAAGAAGGTCTTGTCTCGTTCGAATGCAAAGTTGTAGGTTTTCCAACGCCATTACTGAGATGGTTTAAAGACGGTCAAGAACTTAAACCAGGGGACGTCTATCAGTTAACCGGGACTAATTCATTAGGTAAGTATTCGCTAAATTTATTACACATCCTTTTCTTTTTCTCTAGTCTCTATTAGAGCATAGATTTATTCGAAAATATTCAGGTTCTTATTGCTGTATCGCGAGAAATTGCATGGGCGAAGCCAAAAGTACAGCTGAATTAACCATCGAAGACATACAAAATCAATTAAACGAAGAAGAACGTTTCCAGCTTTTGAGCACTAATCAACCACCAAAGTTTATAAAAAGTCTCAGAAGTTGTGAGGCAAGGATAAACGAAGATTTTCGCTTTACAGTACAAGGTAGTCATATTTTCCTTATTCTTTCCAATAAACAAGTTGTTAAATGACTGTTATTCTATTTCACACGGTTTTACATTACACTAATAAACGTATTTCTTTTTTTTTCTTTTTTTTAGTAAGCGTAGCACCAGAACCGACTCTTTCTTGGTATAGAGATGATGCGTTCATGGATGAATCTGACAAATATCACGTAGCAAAAGAAAATCTCGGCACATGCCATTTTGAAGTGCAAAAGCTCGAATTTGTTGATCAAGTGAATATTCATGAAATATATAATCATATTTATTGTGATATAAGACATTTATGAGCGTTTTTTCTGCATTTCTTTAGGCCGAATGGAAATGCGTAGCAGCAAATGATTTCGGCCACAGTGTCACTTCCTGCTTCTTAAAGCTAATCATTCCCAAACATTACAAAAAACCGAAATTTCTCGAAAGCTTACGCGCAATTCTATCGGAAGAAGGCGCTGTAAATTTAGAGTGCAAGGTTATCGGTGTTCCACAGCCAGTTTTAAAATGGTATAAAGACAACGTTGAACTCAAGCCCGGTGATATACATCGAATCATTTCCGGACAGGATGGCACTTGCTGCTTAGGAATATATACCTGCGAAGCTACCAATTGCATGGGAACAGTCAGTAGTTCCGCGTCTTTATTAGGATTCGAAGGTAATCCCTTTGCGCATTACACATAGCAATTTTAAATTGTATGATTTTTATAGGGATAATAATTTGTTTGTATGAAAAGTATAAAAACTTTTTAGCGATTCCGTTACTTTCGCATTTTATATTGCTATAGTATCCCAAGCGAGCTTTATAACTTGATTTATCTCACAGACAGAAAAGATGCAAAAGAAATTCAGTCGTCAAATGGTCACGAACTAGCGAGAAACTTATCGTTGTCAACGATACATGAGGAACGAACGTCTCAACTGTATGACACACCGCAAACGGATCATTCTGTTACTTTGGACGAACGGGGCGAGGTGTCCTTTAGCTTTGACGGCAAAGAAGTATCAGTGAGCTTATACGAAACGCCTGATCTAACTGAGGAAGAGGCACTACAGATTGTTGAGATGTACGCCGATCAGCTGTCTGAGCATGTAACAGGTAAAAGATTTAACTTAATTTTTGTTGATTCACAATAGGTAAAATGTAATAGTACACATATTAAGAATAATTATATATTAAAAGATTGCGTTTTTGTATAGAACACAATGTGATTGAGCTACCACCAATGAGATTTGTCAAAGAAACGTCTACGACCGGTAATTTATTAATGGAAGCTGTAGTGATCGATGTATCTCCTGATTATTTTGTTAGCGCGGAAGACGGTGATGATTTACGGACAGAAGCTGATTTCGAAGATGTCTCCATTATGGATGATGTTACGCATGTTCTTTCGTCACCTGAACGCGATTCCCGAGGTTCCTTGAAAAGATCAGCTCGACACAATGCGAACGAGGACGAAACAGTTCCTAATAGGCCACCTCGAAAAAAATCACTGAGTCTATCAGCATCAAAAAGCGAAAAAAGCCAACGAATAGAATCTGAGAGTTTCCATAGCGCACAGAAAGACGACCCACCATTGTCCCCGCTTTCATCTTTGAAACAGGATGACAGCGACACTTTTGCGGACGCTTTATCTTCTGCCCATCTCTCCATTACAGAGAGTCTTGTCCAGAAACACATGACATCGGAACACGAAACGGCAGATAGTAGAAAACGCAGTTTAAGCGCAGGAAGATCAACCGGTTCCAGTCTGGACGATGGAATCGGTGGTGATTCCTCTTTCGATTCAATGATCGATGCTCCTAAAAAGAAGCAACGTAAAAAGAAGCAACAGAAGGACAAAAATAGTTCCGAAGAATATTCCAGCCCTAACGACTACGAGCGAAGAAGACGAAGCGGATCGGAAGATAAAGTTGATGCGAAGATAAAACGTCAACTTATAGAATCAGTTGAGAAAATAGAAACGGAAGATAACAGAAACGGAACTGAAGCGATAAAGGAATTAATTACCGAAGAAAAATTGTCAGATAATTTAAAAAGTGCGAAAGAAGTTTACAGCCATGTTTCGGAAGAGATTCAAGAATCGGCAAAAGATATTCTTTCAGAATCAAGAACAACTCTACACAGGGCTTTGGAGATTTTTAATGAAAAAGTGCTCGATACCGCAAGTGCACCGCAATTTTCAAGTATTTATGAGCGGATTGACGATATACGTCAATTATTGGAGATTTCAGGAAGAACAGACGCAGACATTGAAACCTTGACCAATCTGGAAATACCTCTGCGTTCGTTATTAAAAGAAATTAATGAAATTACATCAACGGAACATGTAGAAATCATTTGCAATATTCTCGAACCATTCATCGTTCAATTGTCAGATGTTATTGAAAATCTCAACGTACTATCTTTGCAACCAATGCTCGTAATTTTGAAAAATTTCAGCGATCCTATTTGTAACATTTCTAGCAGAACCAAAGAATTATCTTCGATAAAGTCAATCTCCGGTTTCTCCTGCAAGTTTCAAAATATAGCTGAGGCAATTGTAGATCCATTAATCGATATTCAATCGATGTTTAATGGGATTTTAAATTATATCGAACGACTGAAACTTACGGTAAATGGATCCACCGCAGCAAGTGAGTCACAACAAGTTTTAACACCGTCAAGTCTTGTTGCATGTTTAATAGAATTGAGAGAGTGCGTATCTCACACAGCACATACTGCGATGACGTTGAAAGAGGATGAGACATTAAACAGCTTGATGGAATTTAGGGAGCCTTTATTGGATCTTCAGTCAATTTTAACGTCACTGCAGAGATGTACTTTTCGCGAACTTTCAATGATAAAAGAAATAAATGTTGCCATTTTAAAATTAAAGAGTGTCGTTGCAATTATATTAAAAAATTCTGAAAATTACGACGTAATTTCCCGGGTAGAAGCGACTCTCAAAATATTGGAAGATACCGATGAACAAATGTCAAAATTAGTGGAACAATTATCAGAAACCGAAGCGATTCAAAAACACATGTTGAAAAATTTAAATATTGACCAAAGTTTAAGCAATGTGCATTTTGCTCTATCATCAGTTTTAGAAAAGCAAGAAAAGCACATAGCCTCATATAATTTAATTACAAGTATTGAGGCATTACGTCAATCAATCGGGTCTTCGGCTGTTACAATCGCTAATTTGAAAAATCCAATCGATGATGAGATAACTCAAGAAATTAGCAAACTAAATGAATTATTGTTAAATCTACAAAGAGATTTATTAACGGAAAAGCACGAACCACGAGAAGAGCAAATTCTTAATGATTTGATGAATCCTATTAGTATATTGAAAGAGATAGTTCACAATGTAATTGAAAGCGACTCTTCGATCGAATCAATGGTACCCATATTGGAATTGTTGGAAGATATAGAAAAGGATGCAGCTCTTATAGCGAAAGAAATATCAAAGAAAAAATATCAGGAAGAAAGTATTACACAATCTCAGAGAGAAAATACAGAAGAGAGAAGTAATTCAAAATCCAATTTGGCTAGTAAAATATGCCATTCTTTGGATCCTATTAAAAATTGGTTATCCGCTACATCTGAAGGCAGTGCGAAGCATTATAAAGACGAAACAGAATCTGCACTGAGCTCAACAATCGAGGAATTGAAGAGAGATGTAAGTCAGATTGCCATTCAAACGTCATATTCTGAATCACCAAGTGATGAAAGTTTGATAAACGCACTGATTGATCTTCGAGAACCACTAGTAAGGCTTAAAAACGCTATTTCTACATATCACGAACCGGAAGATCTTTTAATTTTAGAAAACTTGGATCATCCTATGAAATACCTTCTGCAAACTATCATGGATGTTCTACGTGAACATGCGGAAGAAAAATCTCTACGGCCGATAATAGATATCATCGAACAAATCAAAAGTCAAATATCGGTTTCAATCAAAGATACTCTTTACCAACAAGAATTGGAACAAAATGCTAAAATATTTAACGTAGAAACGGAAGAAGAAAAAGAAGAAGAAGAAGGAGCTAATACAGCTTCCCGAGAAACAATTCCAGGTACTCTTATGGAAGTTACTTCAACGCCACTTGAAGCCGAATCTATTGCATTGCTTACTGAGCAAACTATAACAGAAAATAATTCTAAAAACATAACCCATGATATTGTTCTACAAACTATAAAGAACGAAAAGCAGAAAAGAGAGGAAGATGCAAGTAAATTAATCATTATTTTGTCCGAAACTTTGGAGAAACTTCAATTGGAGATAACTAATATACTAGAAGATTTCGAAGAATCAACAACACAAACTGCTACAATTCCTCAATCGCAATTAGCTAATTCCATGGAAGAGTTAAGAAGGACCATTTCCACAATACGCGTAATGACCGTCTACGGTGAAGAAACTGGTTTATTTGAAGAAAAGCTTAATCAGACATCTTCAGTACTGACTAACTTAATGCAGCCGCTGACAAACATGCAAAATCTTCTTTCCAAATCGCATGAGCACGACGTTTCAGAACTTATGATACTGAATCGATTGACTCCATTGTTAAGTATAATAGAAAATAACGTGATAAAACAGATAATCGATTTCGCCAATACAGATGAAAATGTAAAAAAGGAATTTGAGTTTCTTCTATGCGCGTTAAAAGAAATCAAAATGGAAATTCCAATTGTAATTCAAAAAATATCATTGAGACGAAAAATTTTGGAATACCTCTGGGACATCTCAAAACCTCTGGAAAGTATTTTAGAACGCATGAGCGATCTAGAGAAAGCTGCGGAAGAAACTCTCGAAACTGACGTCGCGAATATTTTAGGAAAACCAATCGCTGCTCTTTTAGAAGGTATCAAGATTACTATTCAAGAAGTAAACATGTTAGATCGACGAGAACCATTGATTCTCGAGTTACGAAATCTTCTTGAACCCCTATTAGAATTTCATAGTTGTCTTTCAATGGTACAGAGCAGCCGAAGAAGTTTAGTTCCTGAAGCTTCTTTATTAGACGAGAGGAGAAGTGTTATTTTGCGAGCGGTCGACGGTTTGCAAAAACAAGTTTGTCATATTGTCGAAGTGATCGCGAATATGGAAGAAGCCTTCTTATTTAATGAATCTTTGACGTTGCTTAATTCCGCAATTCTACAGGTACAAAAACAAATTGGTAAGACCGATTATTCGCGCCGATCTAGTAGTGCCAATATTTCTCTTCAGCATCGACTTACTGGCACATTGAATCGCTTAGCCAACGCTATAATAGCTGTAGAAGAACACGCTGACAAAGATACATATGGAATAGTGTCCAAATGTTTGGAAGCATTACAGAAACAAATCTCTTTCGCGCAAACGCAATTTAATCAAATCGGTAGTGAATTAATTGACGAAGAGGCAATCGTAGAAGGCTTTCTTTATCCGACTAATCAACTTCTGTCGGCATTAAAAATTCTGAAAGAGAATACGCAAAAAATACCGTCAACAATTTCGCATAGTTTAATAGTTCAGCTTCAAGAGCTAGCCGACTCTATCTCAGAACTAAGTTCTTCTCTATCGGTTTACAAAACAGGACTTGTCCAAGAAGGCGCTTCTGAAGGGGCACCGATCGTAGAGACTTTTTCTGCCGTTATAGATGTTTTAGATCACGTGAAAGATTCTATAACTGTCATAAAGCAGACAGTTGATGTAGAACAAAAAGCGAGCATGATTATCACGAAAGTAGAGAGTGTTATTGATGAAATTATAGAGATATCACAAGAAGAAATTGAGAGCGTAATGATGGTCACAGAAATACCGTCGTCTAAAGCAACAGTTCAAGAAGTTGCTCAATCTGAAATTGAAGGTACACCTACAACGTCACAAACGCCAGTTTTAGAAAATCTTGAAGCAATAATCCCCGTTGATCAAACGAAGGATGATCTGGCAGATATGAGAAAATACAAAGAAAATCAGAAGGAAACTGAGAGACACAAACATTTGACAACTGAGATATCAAAGTTTAATTCTGCAATAAGTAACTTGACACAGCCGTTAAAAGAGTTGATTAATTTTGTGAAATCTGCTAAACAAGAATCTCTGATTTCAAAATCTGAGGAAAACAAGCGGAAAATACAAGAATTAACAGCATTAATACAAATTCTTAATGATCTACAAGCTACAAATACTTCTATTAAGACGGTAATAGCTTCCTCGCCCATTTTACTATTAGATAGCCAATTTTCTCGTATGAAAGATATTCTTGCTGATTTTGAACGGGCTGTCAACGCGGTCATTTCCTTGACCCATGAAGGAATAAAACCAGAATTAAAGATAAATATCATGGCTTCTTTATTATTTATATCCAAACCTTTAGATGCTCTTGAAAATGTATTGGCATCTATATGTCAGACAATCTGTGAAGACAGATATATTGACAAGAACGGAGAATCATTATCTGCAATCGCAAAAGCCTTAATAGCATGTATTAATGATACCATTAAATCTCTAAATGAAGTGCAAATATCAAAATATGATAGTATTACTGACAAAAGAGAAACGGAAATAAAGGGAGAAACGAAAGTAAAGGAAGAAACGAAGGACATTGAAGAAACAACTGCGCGACCCCTCGAGGAGCTTATAGAAGCCATTATGGAGTCTCAGGAACGGGTAAAATGTGATAGAACTTCGCTATTGGAATCTAGTTCGCCTTCCACGGACGTGACCGAGACGAAAAGCATCGATAATTTAAAATCCGTAGAAGTAGAATTAAATGAAACACTTGTTAAAGAAATAGATGGTTCGATGAAACAAGATACAGTAGAGACCCTACAACAAACATTAATATTTTCATTAGAATCTAGTCAAATCGAAGAATCACTTACTGAAAACATAGGAAAGATAAAATCAGTAGTAGAACCTTTAGAAAAAGTTGAAGAAAACTTAACAACAATTGATCAACAAAAGGTAGAAATTACTCAAATATCTGAAAACAGTATGATTCAGGAAGAACAAATAAAAGTTGAAACTTTGCAAACAATTATCTCTTCTCTTCAAGCATTGTGTAAGTCATTTGACGAAATCGGAGAAATGGAAGTTTTAGAATCTTCCGATAAGAAAACGGTCGCATTCTCGGCTTTGGTGGAACCGTTATTAAATTTACAAATTGCATTATCGTCGAAAGTTACTGAAGATATTAAACAAAATACAGTGACGTTACTGAAATTATCTGTCGTAAGCGTTTTGGAAGAACTACAAAAATCCATTGTTACAGTTCAAGAACAAGTTCAGCTTAATACTGTGGCTGAAGCCAGTTCGAGTAAAACGTCTAAAATGTTTTTAGTACAATCGATCGTGGAACCATTAGAAGACTTGAGAATGTCAATTACTTGTATTCAATCTGACCCAACAATTAGTCAGTTTATCCAGCAAGGAGCAGAATTATCGAATGTCGAACAGATCACGATCCTGCAAAATCTTACTAAATCAGTGGTGCAACTTGGAGAAAGATTTACGTCTATTATTAATCAAGTAAAAATAAAAACTGTACCACCGTTGCAAATAATTAAACCAAAAGGTCAAGAGCTAAATCCAGAAATTTTACATAAAATTATTGATTCAATTCACATTTTGCGAGAAACACTCTCTCAAATTGAAAACCTTAATAGTTATGAAGCCGAATTATTAGAACTGCCAGAACAGAAAAGAGAGATTGCTCAGTTGGGTGCAGTGATAGACTCTTTGGAAAAATTAGAACAATCATTAGTTATAGGTACGCAACAATTTACAATCGCGCAGGAGGGAGTTGTGAAAGAACTTAGCAAAAATCAAAGTTTGTTGGCAAGTGCGAATTTAAAGCCTGTGTTAAAAGAATTGAGAAATTCGATCATTGTAGTTCAGAAGCAAACAATTTTTAATGAAGATATTCCTGTATTAAGAACATTGAATGAAGCTCTAGAAAATTTGAAAATACCGTTAACAACAGTTGAAGAAGTCGTCGATCATATTGATAAAATTACTGAAATTGAGGAAGTATCAACTTTACTATCGTTTGCAAAGTCAGTAGAAGAAACAGCGAATCAACTAGTAGTTATAGCTAAACAAGATATAACAAAACAAGCAATTAGTGAAACTTCTCTGTTAAAAACGATGACTATTCCGATTGAAGAATTACAAAGTGCAATATTAAAACTCGAAGATCGTGTATCTCAAACGTTGGAGACAAAGGAATCGATAAAAGCTGTTACTTTAGAATGTATGATACAACCATTGCAAGAGTTGCAGCAATCATTTTTAACTGCATCTTATCAAGAAACCGTTCTAGCTTTGCAACGATTGCCAATCAAGTCGACATTGGACAACTTGAATAAATCCGTGGCAGTGATTCAAGATCAAGTTATGTTCATCCAAGATAATTTACTTGCGGACAAGAATACTGATGATTTGAAGGAAGTAATATTGAAGGATTTCACGAGATCACTTGGTAATTTAAGAACATCGATGGTAGTTTTACAACAATTGAATGCAATAGAAAACGCTGGTCAACAGATCGTAGAAATCGAGAATGCGTCCGCGTTACAAGCATTCGCCAAATCTATTGAGGAGTTCAAGAAATGTTGCTCCATAATCGTTGAAAGACCGAGAATTATCGAAGCTTTTACGACAAATACAGAATTGAAACAATCAAATAAAATAGGTGCGCATCTTATAGAAAATATTATTACACCTTTGCGAATATTACAGGAACAGATTTTAATTATCGAAGAAACTAAAATGCAAGAATCTGAGATTTTGAATGTTACGGAAATAAGGAAACCAGTCACTGTCTTAAGCAGTCTTGTTGGTCCCTTACAACAACTTGAAAAATCTTTCGTCGCAACGGTGCAAAAGGAACATATTGTCGAACATGATGGGCACACATTAACAACTGAATTGTCTTCTGTAAGTCTAGAGAAGCTTGCTCTACAACCTATTCTCGAGGAAGTACAAAGATCTATTGCTACTGTACAAGAGCACGTGATATTAGAAGCGGGAGATCATATTACATCGGAAGCAGAAACTGACGCTTTATTGAAATCGATTGCGCAGCCTTTAATAGATTTAAGAGCTTCTATCGCATCTATTCAGCAAGTGACCGCAACTGCACCTGAGTTTTTAAATGAACTCGTACAAGAACAAAATGTTTCGGCATTGGAAACTTTTGCCGAAACTCTTCATAATCTGACGGAACGCATGGCAATGTGCAATCATCAGCAGATAATCATGGAGCCTGCGGCTGACACTATCTCCGAAGATGCCTCGTCTTTAAATACGTGGGCAAATGTAATCGATGAATTGTCTTCAAAAATTACGCGTCCAGTAGTGATTGATCAAGGTGCGATCGAATCTCCAGTCGAAGTTGCAGTATTGATGTCCGAAGATGAAAGCTCTAGCTTGAAAACATTAGCAAAGCCATTAACTGAATTACGAGAATGCCTAGCCTTGATCGTCGAAGAGCAAAAAGCAGTCCCGCCGTACGATACGACAGGTTCTTTATCAGAAAAAGAAAATATTTCTTTGATGAAAACAATAATACAGCCTTTATCAGAATTAAGGCATGCAGCTGCAATAATTATTCAAGAACAAATGGCCATTGAACGTGTTAATGAACATTCATTTGCCATCGATAATAAAAATGAATTTATTCTTCGTCCTTTGATAGAACCACTCGAAGAATTACGTCATTCTATCGCAGTAATACAGGATCAGATGTTGATTGAAACACCAACGAATCGATCGAAGAACGATGTGATATTAGGTGCATTGGCTGAACCTCTGTTCGACCTCCAACGTGCTATATCTGTTTTAGAAACACGAGTAATGTCGCCGGTGTTGGATGTTGAATCAATGCCCGAAGATGCAAGCAATAATTGGATTACGGAATGTCTAGCGACTCCTCTGCACGAAATAGAGAGATCGATTGCTGAGATTCGACAATGTAACATAATAGAACCTGAAAACATAATTGTGGAAGAACAAACGAGAACTTTAATACCAGACTGGTCCATTATCGAAAAATTAGCAAAACCAATGGAAAGTATTAAATCAGCAATATTACGTATGGAAGATGACTCTGTCGAAATTCAAGTTCTTAAAACAATGGAAATACCACTTGCTAATGTAAAAGAGAATTTGACGTTACTAACAAGTAAATATAATTTGGGTGATGAAGAGAAAGAGAGTATCGATGCTTTGATCGAATCTCTGTCCAATTTTGAAAAATGTATTTTATTTGTCAAGGAAAAAATTATCGACAATGCAGTATCTAAACAATCAGATACGATGAAAATTGATGCAATATCCGCCATTCTCAATATACCATTAACTGAATTAAAATGTTCTCTTGCGACTATAAAGAAATCGCCAAGCATAAATTTAAACAATTTGGAAAGGCCGTTAAAACTCGTGCAGAACGCGCTCGAAACAATTGTATCTGTACAACGAAATAAAAAACTTTCAGAATTATCGACGAAAATAATAAATAGTATTTCAGATATTGACAAGTCAACCGAATCTATCGAAAATAAATTAAAGCAGCAACAGATGTCGGCCGTTGAAATTTGTATCGAATACGAAGCACTTGGAATATTGACAAAATCTTTACAGAATATCAAACAATGTATTATACAGATACAAGAAAAACCAAATACTGCCAATTCAATGATTAGTGCTCTTCAGAAACTCGAGAAATCTATGGCTGTAATGCGAGAGCAATCAGCCGATAAACCATTGGCGGAATCGCAACATACGAACTTCAGTGTTCTTTCAAAAAATTTAATACCGTGTCTATACGAATTACAAGAGTCAATAGAAGCAACTAAAACATTATGGCATGAAGAAACGGTACTAGATGGATTAATGATTCTTGAGAAACCAATTTGTAAATTGCAAACTGTGATGAACATTATATGTGACCAGTCTTTGGAAGAAATGATTTTAATAATAAATAGATACAAAGCAGCTCTTCAAAAGAAATCTGTAAAGCAAGAAATAGAAGTATTTGAAATTGAGACAGTTGTCGAAAAAGACGACAAAACTAACGAAACTGTGAAAGAAGAGATAGATGAAACTAAAATGGTAAAAGATTCAGCAATAATTAATGAGAAAGATAAAGTAAACGATAAAGACGAAGAAAATAAAAAGATATCAGAAAAAAGGAAAGAAAAAATAGAACGAGACAAAGAAAAAGATTACGAAGAATCAATGAAATTAATACACGAAGAAGAGATTAATCAAATAAAAAATAAAAATGAGCAACGAAAGAAAGAAGACGTAATTCAAGAAATGCAAGAAATAAATAAAAAGCAAGAAAGCGAAGAAATTGAACGAGTAAAGGAAGAAATAGAGCAAAGTGAAAGAAGTAAGAAAGATGAAAAAATAAAGCAAGATGAAAAAGAATGTAAGAAAATAGAAGAAACTGATAGCTTTGAAAAACATAAAGAAACTGAAAAAATAAAGGAAATTAAAAATCAGCAAGAGAACATAGGTACAACTGAAAATATAAAAAATGGAATGCAGGAGTCCAAAAAACTTGTCGACGTCGGAGAAATGAGGAAAGAAAAAAGTGAAGAAACAAACCAGGAAGGTGTAGAAGGAAAGGAAAAAGAAAACAAACGAAAGAAAGAGCAAGAGATTGTGCAAGAGAAGAAAGAAATAGATGAATGTAAGAAAACTGAAACAGACCAAACCATCGAAGAAAAAGAAGAAAATAAAAAAGTAAAAGGACTTAAAGATATAGGAAAAAAAGAAGGGCAATTGAAAGAAAAGGGAGAAGAACAGCAAGATATAAAAGCTACTGACAAATTAAAATCGACGGAACAATATAAGAAAAGAGATCCAACTAAAGAGGAAGAAGAAGAAAAGCGAGAAAAAGACAAAGAAACTGATATAGCACAACAAAAGAAACAGGAACCTGTAAAAACAGAAGTTGAAATGATACAGAAAGAAAAAGAGAAATCTGACAAGGAAGCAAAAGCCAAAGAAATAAAGAAAAATATAAAGCACAAAATTTCCAAAGAAGATGAGAAATTAGACAAAGAACAGGAAAATCTTGAAAATAAAGAATATGTTGCACGAAGTCAAAATAAAGATGTTCAGAAAAAGGAAAACGCTAATTTGTTGAAAAAAGAAGAACAAAAGGAAGGAAGGACGAAGGAAAAGATAGAACAAAAGAAACAAGAGGCAATGGAAGAGATAAAAGAGGAAAAAAGCGAAAAAACAAAAGATCAGAAGACTGAAGAGTTTGAAAAGGAAAAAGAGAAATTGAATAAAAAAGAAGAGTATGTTGAAGAGAAGATAAAAGAACAAGGACTAAAGGAACGAGTAGAAGAAGTAAAGAAGCAAGAAAATGAGTTAAACAAAGAAACAATAGAAAAAATAAAAGGAGAAGATAAAGCAAAAAGTGAAAAGACTGAAAAATTGGAAAAAAAGAAAGAGGATTCTAGTGAAAAAAGTGAGATGAAACAAGAAGAACGAAAGAAAGAAGATAAAGTTAAAATATCGAGGAAAGAGGATGAAGAACGGAAAGAGATAACTAAGGCTGAGGAAATAAAAATTGCAGGAGATAAACAAGCAAGGACAAAGAAAAATTTACAAGAGGATAAGGAAATAGTTAAGCAAGAAAAAGATAAAATGGAAGATGAAAAATTAGGAAAGATAAGAGAGGAATCAATAGAAAAAAAGAAAGACGAAATTGTTAAAACAGAAGAAATAATACAGCAGGCACAATATAGATGTATAAATGACATAAAGAAAGAAGATGATACAAACGAAAGCAGAACAGAATATAAAGAAATAAATGAAGAACAAGAACAAAAACAAATAAAAGAAAAGCAAAAAGAAAAAGTAAGCGGAAAGGGAATCCAGGAATTAGCATTAAGAAAAGATAAAAATTTGCGTGTGCAAATGGACGAAGATTTAAAGAAACAAAAAGGTGAGAAAATGCTTCGAAAACAACAGGAAGAGAGCAAACCGGAATTTGAAGAACTGGAGAGAGTGAGAGAAGAAGAGAAATGGAAACAGCGAAAGTCGCAAAGTGATGAAAATCGGTTATATATGAGAGAAGAGCGCATTAATAGAGGTGGTGAATGCAAAGAACAGAGAGAGGAAAACGATTATCAAGAGAGATATAATGATAAAAGGCTGCATAGAATAGAAATAGAGCGCTTGGAAAAGAACAGAACTGTGAGGCAAGCTAAAGAAATGGCTGACTATGTATCTGTAGCGGACGAGGCAAGGCGCCAGAAAAGAAGTGAGGAAAAAAGAATTAGGAGAGATGAGACTGCTAGATTATTATGGGAAGAAGAACAAAGATTACGAAAAAGGCAAGAAGAAGAGAGATTCAGAAGTAGGCAGAGAAAAAAAGAACAGATAAGAGAGAATGAATGGTCCAGAAAACGCGAAAATGAATCCGATCGCTTTCTTAGGAATATGTTAGAGGTCACATGCAAGCCCGACAAATCGACTTCAATGCTTTTCAATGCCGATTATTCTCGAGACTATACTTTTCGGTTTGATTCTGGTATCCCAATGCTTTCTAGTAGTACTTCCAGATCATACAGCTGGAGAGATTCTTTAACGTCATTAAATCGGAAAAGGCTCGACGACTATTGGGATTATAAATTACGTAGTCCTTTTATGGATAAGTATTATTTCGATACGGGGTCTTCATACAAAAGACGCAGAAAAAGAGAATATCGCATGATTCGCGCAAGGTCGATCAGTTCGTTGAAATACGAAGACTATTCAACCGGAGATAGCGATGCCACTATTGTACCTAATACGCGCGTTCGACCTCTCCGACGCACAAAAGCGGACGCTATCTCACGTATCAATTTCGACACTTCTGAGTCTATTCCGTTTAGTTACACTGACATCCGTCAAAGTGAGGTAATTATTAAATATCGCAAACTACTGCTTAATAAACACTACTGCTTTATAAACACACTACTGCTTTATAAACAAGAAGGAATCTCAATTTTTATAAAATTATTAACCATTACAGAGTCTTCCGTGGGACAAACCAAAGAAACCATCGTTTTGTACAAGATTGACGAACCGAGTCGTAGGAGTTGGAATGAGGACAAGACTGACCTGTACCGTTCTTGGTAATCCCGAACCACGCGTTTACTGGATGAAAGACGATCAAAACCTAGATGTATCGGACAATCGTTGTAGAATGCGATGTGAAAACGGTATGGCTTATTTGGAATTACACGACGCGCTTCCCGAAGACGCCGGAATATACACATGCGTAGCTGAGAATACACATGGCACTTCGACCACCGAATCTATCTTGAGAGTTTATTCCGATTATAAACCTACACATTCACCTCCAACTTTTGTCAAATCAATTAAAGGTATGCATGCACAAGTATATAATATACCTTTTAACGTTTATTAATTTACATAAATTATTTCAATAATAAACCATTTTTTCTCGTATAGATACTTATCGACATTCTGATCGTAAGCTAATCCTGGAATGTCGTGTACGAGCACATCCCGTTCCTAAGATTTCCTGGCTGAAAGACGGAATGATTCTACAAGGCGAACGTTACAAACAGAGCTATCTCGATGATGATGTCTATCGACTGGAAATAGCGGATCCTGATGTCACAGATAATGGACAATATACGTGTCGCGCGGTAAACGAGTTACATAGTGAGGAAATGTCTCATATTGTTCGTGTTGAAGGTGATTAGGATATTATATGTTATAAATTGATATGAATGCGTCTGAATATTATGTAATAATATAATTTTAGATTGGCGATCCGTAAATCGAAACGATCCACGTATGGGCAGCAAAGTTAGATCGGAATTTGCACCAAGACCACAGTTCTTCAACTTACTAAAGGATTACAGCGTTCCCGCTGGTGGAACTGTCGCTCTTCAAGCAGAAGTCAAAGGTAAATAAAACGCTTGTCAAAGAAATAAGTTACATATCAAATCCTCTTTAATTTATTATAGGTATACCATCTCTGGAAGTGGAATGGCTACGCGGCGATCAAAAGGAGGCAATTACAATACCAAAAGCGAGAACCTTTGTAGAACGTGGACTTTACACGACAGAGTCGGAAAGGGGTGCATATGTGTGTAGAGCGATCAATGATTATGGACAAGTGGATACGAGCGCTATCGATGGAGAAAAACCGGCGATGTTCGTCTCAAGACCTTCCAAGAAATCGATCGATGTGATCGTTGGCGAAGACATCAGTATATCTTTCCGAGTCAGCGGTATCCCTAAGCCTCGAAGTAAGACTCGACAAATTTATCGTATTCACAAAGTAATATTAGTTTATTTTTCTTTTTATTTTCTCTCTTCTTTATTCTTTATCTATCTATTTCTTCTATTATTTTAGTAATATGGATGAAAGGATTAACAGACATTACGGGTGGACCAAGATCGTACAAAGAGAGTATTGATGATTATGTCAGATTAATATTAAAAAGAGTTATACCTTCTGATGAAGGTACCTATTGCATTTTGGTTAAAAATAGATATGGCTGTGACAGAAGCTTCTTCTCGATCAAGGTGAGAATCTTCGTAAATTTAATTGAAGTAAGAGAAACATATAATCAGTAACGTATTCAAACAGGTAAAGCAACGTGCTAGGTCACTGACTCCATTATCAGATTGGAATTCTGTTACTGACCGCAACGCAGAAGAATACGACAACAATATGTCCCATGTGAGGAGTAAGTGGCTTTGCGATTATTTATATGCAATATTAACTATAAAAGAGAATGCTCGAGTAATATTATAAGATTTTCTAGTATCACTTGCACATGAATTTTAATAAATAAACGCATGAATTATTTAGTAACATAGTAATAGATACTAACTAAAATGTCACGATATTATTGTATAACATATTAAAATTAGAATGACAAACAATCTACACCAACTGCAACATCGTACACTTGGCTTAAATTTTAATGGCTAAACGCCAATTGACGCCTGGACTAAGCGGTCGCGCAAACTGACATCAATATTTAGTTTGACTGTTCATTGAATTGATATGTTGATCAAAGATCTTGTTAAATATATGTAAATATAATTTTTGAAATAAATGAGCCGGTATCCCGAGACTGAGATGTAAGGCACTTTCAATTGAATTCAGAATTAGCACGTTCGCGAATTTGTACTCGTAATGTAAAATAAACACGACAAGAGAACATCCAAGTTTCCTTCATTCGAGAAACATTTCGAGACGGGTTATTTTAGTTTGCCTTCTTTACATATCTCCTACCAACACCTCACGAATTCCACAAATTCAAAATTCAGTCGTCATCTAAACGCGAATCACTTCATATACCCTACTTTTCAAAACCTTATTCAGTTTTGTGCAGACGATACATTTGTGCTGATAAGAAATAATTTCGCAAAGTGAAAAATTATTTATTCATTTCATCGACATCAATATCTTTTTAGAAATGTTAAATCCGCCACGAATTTATCATTATTTTTATAACATTCTTATTGCATAATACGTTAAATATTTCTTTCTTTCGTTTTCTTTTTAATATCAAGACGCGATTTTTTTTATTTACAAGCATCAATAATAATATTATATATCGCCAAGTAAACAAAATTTATTATGATGTCACACGATCATGGAATCATTATTAATGCTAAAAATGAAAATATTACTATTTCACGTTTGCGATGTTTTTGGACCAAGGATTGTTTAATTACTGACTTCTTAGAATATTTGTATGGACATCGAGGTTAGCAAATAAAGGAGTATTGTTTCTATAATAAATTTTCTTAAAAAACAATTCTTCTAAATGTAACAGACACAATTAAACATTTGTAATTTGATATCTTATAATTTTTCAGACGTGCCCGGTCCGATTAGTAGCGAACCTATTGTTATCGATGGTGGAAAAACCTGGCTATCATTGAGTTGGGGTAAAGCAGAAAGAAGAGGACCTGTACCGGTGATCGCTTATAAAGTCGAAGCTTGGCTATTAGGTAGTGACGGAGGTGCACGATGGGTAGAGGTAAAACAAAAAGAAAATGATTGATACTTCTAGCTTAACAATACACACACACACACACACACACACACATCTTAACTTATTTTTTTCCTAAATCAAATAATTATTTATTCTTGTCAGCTGGGAGTTACGCCAATCAACGCATTCGACGCATTCAATTTGCGACCAGGTGGAGAATACAAATTTCGCGTAACACCGCGAAATCGTTACGGATGGGGCGAACCAGTTACGATGACGAATTCAGTATTGGTGACCGAAAGTACCGATCTTCCAGAATTCACAAAAATTCTACCAGGTCAATTAAAGGCTCTTGAAGGAGCGCCGGTAAAATTGGAATGTGAGGCAAGTTTATAAACGGGAACATAAATATATTTTATTATATTTTTAACTAACGCTTCTCATCTTATGTATATATGTTTCTTTTAGATTCGCGGTGATTCCAAAATGGAAATACGATGGTATCGAGAAGCAATGGAAATTAATCCATGCAATGATTCAAGATTTGCGATACATTATAATGGTTCTAAATGTTCTTTGACAATCGCAAATATTAAAGAGGATGATTCCGGAAGATACATTTGCGAAGCAAACAATCGGATCGGTAAAGTGTCGTCGTTCGCTAGAATTCTCGTTGTTACTGATCCAAAAATTATCGAGGCCGATGCTAAACTTAAAACGAGGTAAGTAAATGTACCATCTCGATACAAGAAAGTTTATAGTAATACAATCTGATACAATTCCGTTAAAAGTTTGAGCATCGAACCGGAAGACAGACCACCACACTTCACCATGAGGATACGCGACAGGCGAGTGCAAACAACTTATCCGGTAAGACTTACTTGTCAAGTCATCGGACATCCCGCTCCAGAGATCACTTGGTACAAAAACGGAACGGAAATCTCTCAAGATGGTAATTAGCTTATTCATTGACAACGTTTGATATGAAATTTTCTATTTCTCTTTGTTGTATGTTCTTTTCTTTAGATCGCCATATCTTTTGGGATGATGACTCAAACTTTCATACTCTGGAAATAATTCATTCCACTCTTGAAGATTCTGGATGTTACATGGTGACAGCGAGGAATATAAACGGCTCGGTGTCTTGTCGATGTATCCTCGTCGTAGACAAAGGAATTCGAGCCTACATCGCACCGGAATTTCTTCGAGATCTCAATGCTGCTTACGCGATTCATTTGGGTGGTGAACTACGAATGTCGGCACAACTCGAAGCTTATCCAAGTGTTGGTGTCGTCTGGTAAGCGATGATTACAATTAACGATACTCTCACATTTATAACAGGACTAAAAAAATATATATATTATAATCACATTCTTCCACGTAGGCATCGCGATGGTATTCGCCTGCGACCTAGTAGAAGAGCGATAATGACATTGAGCCACGATGGTGCCGTCCAATTTTCTCTGGCTAATGTTACTATGCGAGACGCAGGAGTTTACAGTTGCACTGCAACGAATGTAGTCGGTCAAACTGAGACATCCACCAGAGTAGCTGTTACGGCCCCGATTCAGGATCAGTCGTCCATTGATGAATCATTCAATGTTACGAGCACCAGTCCAGATATACCGTGAGTTCGATCATTGTAGCTCATTTAGGCGTATAGCAACGAAATTGTAAATAAATTTGTTCTACTTTTAGATATTCGAAAGAGCCTCTTTTTGTCACGAAACCTTTATCAACTGAAGCGATCGAGGGCGATACCGTTATTATTCTTTGTGAAGTGGTCGGAGATCCTAAGCCGGAAGTAATATGGCTGCGCGATTTTCTTAAGGTAAACTACATAAATATTTTCCTAGTTTTGTAACTTATTTCATTCGCAACTCTTTGTTTCTTTTCAAATACAAGTTCGACGTGATGTGATAAGACGGTGTTGCAATTGAAAAAATAAAAAAAAGAGCTTGAAAGAAATTTCATTGTATTTCGGTTAATTAGTCGCAATTAAAAATTATGGACGATTGCGAAACGAACATTTTGCAAATGGTGAAATGACGTGTATCTAATGCTGACTTGAGCTGTGTTATGTGGATCAAGGTAACTACGAAAAAATGACTACGTAGCAGAGTGTAACAGAGAACATATTGTAACCATAAGCGGGTAAGACATTATATACGCTGAAGGAAATGGCATTGACATTGGATAGTTTCATACATGGTAACAATGCGTTACGTCATATTACATTTTTAATACGGACGAAGGAATGAAATTCAATAATATACAATCGCATTCGAGAGAGGGATTCGTACTGTCAATTGATGATGTACGAATCCAAGACAGGAAACGGAAGTGATGCATTGACCAAAGAAACATGCGCATCTACGTCACTTCAAAATATCTGCATAATCGTAAAGTGCGCACAGAACAGTATCCCCACTTATCGTCGAGACCAACTCGGCTTTCTTCGACGATGAATCGGTACTGTAACATACGAGCAGCAAAACAGTCGCCGTGTAACTTTAGCGGACGAACAGCCGCTTCAATTTCTGATTACTTATATGATGTGAAATCGTTATTCTGCGTCTTATGTGAAACGTGAATTACTATTTAAATTTAACTCACAAAACGCATATTTAGTCTGTTTTGGTCAATTTACAATTTTTTACAATTTTAATTATTATTCTATTACTTATCAAGAAAATTAGATTCAATTCGGTGTGGAATACGATAATGTAAGTATGATATCAAATTATTAATTTACATAATATATTATTTGTCCAGAGCTGAGAGAAAAAAAACAAAATCCTAAACTAAACTAAATACATCAGAATTACGAATAAAATTATATTAATATATAATTATAAATGCATGTTTTAGAATTTTATTGAAAAGTTAACGTTGCGAATTTTCTCTCATTTACAGAAACGCAATGACATATGTAGATATAATTACAAATACACTCAATTAAATAGCTTATATAGTTTTAAACATAGTTTCGATCACATAAAGTTATAAAAGTATAATTTAATCCAGAATTGAATTTAATTATATTCTGTATTTTATTTTGTTGTATACCGCGATTAGGCATAAATAGCTTTTGTGGTGACGTATTGTGTATATATATATATAAAGCCAAGAGTCCTTGCAAACTGTCTCTGTAAGAATTTATAGCATCTATCTTCTTAATCGAGAAGTATCCTCCGCATAAATTTTAACGTAGGTGAACCATAATGTGACAGGTGCAAGATAGATACATCTCGAGAGTTTATTATGTCACGATTCGAATTCAAGGATTAAAATTTATATAGCTTTTCATGTCTAAGCGCTATTAAAATAGATAAAATTATTAAATTTATTTGAGAAACAGTAATATATATTAAATATTACTCATGTAATATACGTTCAATCAGATCAGATTGCAGCGATCTGTTCAACTTTCGCTCCCTATATGGGCTAGAACCGTGACGAAGACATCTCTCTTTTATCTCTCTTTTTCTCACTGTCCTTTTCGTTCCCAACACCACACGCTGAGTTTTAACCCCGTCTCATAATCTTGCGTAACAACTAACATCCAAAATGTGTACAACGGACACGATTTGAATACATTCGCTACAAGACATTCAAGCGAATGCAATCACGCATTAGTAGTCACGATCGAGGACACGTTAAACCATATTATTATCAAAATTAATACATCTTCGTTATTTGTTATGGTTTCATAAGTTAATAAATGCTGTCAAATTGAATGACGTCGCTATTGTGGAAATTATTACCTTACTTAAAGTTACTTTGAATCACTTCCTCAACAATTTAACATTTCACTTGTAGCCGAGTATGTACGCAGTTAGCGATGAAATTCATATAAAGTAAGTGAGAACGTACGGAACGAACGTTGATAAGAAATAATATAATAATACGATACAGCATTCTCGATTCAGTTGAATTTACATACTATTTGCAGTACTTACTTATACTTGCGCGGCGATCTTGAGTATTTTGCATGTTCATACTTTTCACGAATTCTATTTTGCAGCCCGACTATTATAAGGACGCACCTCACTTCCGGTTAGTGGGTACAGGGCCACAATATCGACTGGAAATACCTTACGCTAAACTCGATTTTACTGGAACATATTCCGTGATAGCTCGCAACTGCCATGGGGGAGCTAAAGCTGTAATTTCTTTGCAGATCTATGCAAAAGGTAAACTTCGAGACACGAACGAATTTGCTTTGCGTTGAACAAATCTCATTCAACGATTTTTTCAGGACAAGGCAAAGAGGAACAAACGCAGAAATCGCCTCACGGGTGAGTTATTACGAAAGCTTAGTGACGCGTATACACGTTTCTATTTGCCTCGTTTTATTAATAAAATATTAAACTCTATAGAAAAGTATTGACACTGCCGATTATAAAGAGAGAATTGCGAGATCTTCGGTGTTGCGACGGCGACGCTGTCTCCTTGGAGTGTAAGGTTTATGCCACACCAGAAGCACCTTTGGTTCGTTGGGAACGTGGTGGCAAAGTAATAAGAAATTTAAATACTTAGTAATGTCGTACATAGCTGATAAACTATAACATTTAAAGTATTTTTCGTCAGATTATAGCCATGGTGGGCGATTTTGCTGCCGAATTCGACGGTGAAATGGCACGATTAAATATCCAACATGTCTATCCCGAGGATGAAGGAGAATACACGTGTGTGGCTTACAACGACCTTGGAAAAGCATATACATCAGCCTGCTTAGTTGTAGATGGTAATGTAGTATAACACTCTCTCTCTCTCTCTCTCTCTCTTTCTCTCTCTCTCTCTCTCTCTCACTCTCTCTTTCTCTCGAAAGATTCATATA